AGGGTTTTGTCGGTGATGTCCCTGGCTTTTGGGGTTGTGATTGTTTGTTGTTGTCGCTGTTGGGGTTGTGATTGTTTTTTTTTGTTTTTGTTGTCCTTCCTGACTTTTTGTTTTGTTTTGTTTTAAGTGTGGAGAAGACGTTTGGTGCTGAGACATAAGTTGACAATGCATACAGCGTTTGCCAGAGAAGATAACTCAGCTCCTGCGGCAATCACTTCTTTACTCGTGTCCAAGTAAGTTTGAACCAGAACCAAATTACAAGGCCAAACTAGGATAAATATAGCCTAGACGCTAGGTTAATTCCAAGTTAGAACCTGAATCGCTACAAAAGCGTTTTGGCCTACTGAGACCCTATATAATTATCAAAGCAATTTGCTATCCCTTAACCAATTGTTCGAGCTAGTTCACTGACCCACTTCACTGACGCATGGACGTACGGACGGACAAGATCTGTTTGTGTAGTTTTATTTCTGAATGTCTTCGTTGTTCTTTTAGGGATCATCGCAAGTTACTGGTTGGTGATTTTCGGGGACGAATTTACAGCTGGTCCGTGACCGATGCTGCAGGTACGATGTGATAGCGAATCTCTTTATCTCTTTGTCGGCGCATTTTTATTACACTCTGCTTACAACGATTTCTAGAGCGAGTACATGCATTGAAAGGTAATGGTCCTTGCATTTCGAGCAACAATTGGGAGGAAGATTACAACCAGACTCCCAAAATGGTGAGAAATTAAGGTCTGCCTTTAAATGCCTCATATGTTGCTTAATCTCATATGTTCTGTCGTACCTGCATGTTTTGCTGTAGGTCGCATGGCAGATCACTGGGTCAAGGATGAATTTGCCGACCTTTGCTCGAGCTGCGGAATCAAGTTCAAATTCATTGAGAGACGTCATCACTGCAGGGATTGTGGGAAGGTGTTCTGCGCAAGGTATCACGTGACTGGAGTCAACACAGAAAATGCTTACGGGTTGTTAGCCCTTCGACTGGTTTACTGAACTGACTGGTTTTAGTTCTTTGACTTGTTTTACTAGAATAACTGGTTTTACAAGAATTACTGGTTTTACTAGATTGACTGGTTTTACTAGAATAAATGATTTTACTAGTTTGAGTGTTTCACTAGATTGACTGGTTTTACTAGAATAACTGGTTTTACTAGTTTGACTGTAGTATTAGAATGACTGGTTTTACTAGAATGACTGCTTACCACTCGGCGTGACATCACTTTTTGTTCTTTTTCTTCTTCAGGTGTAGTAGTTACGAATCAGAGGTGACCCGTCTTGGAATCCATGCCCCTGTCCGCGTGTGTCATGCGTGTTACAACAAACTCAAGAAATCATCCAAGAAGACCAACAGCTAACACCCAGTCTTCCCTCATCTGACGGGAAATTAAATTCAGACGTCATTATTCATTTTAGAACAACATCTGAACTGATCCTAGAAGACAGCTGTAAACGAGTACTTGCTGAACAGTGGACAACGAATTATTAATAATGATTTATTTTCCTGGACGTAAGGTGACAGAACCCAGCACTCGAGATTGACGGTGACGCGAACATTCCCCCTTCTTACGTAAAATGCGGTATTGACGCCGCAGTTATCACGCAAGGTCTGGTAAGCGTGACAAATGCCTGTTTTTTTGGATGAATGACTTGACGAACAGATCGATACGTTAGGTTTCGTGGTAAACCTTTAAGAAAAGAAACAAGATGTAGACTCAGTTGTTTTTAATGTGTACAATTCTCTTCGACTTCAATTACGTTCAGCTGAAAACTTTTATATTAATTAGTTTAGTCTTTTTTCAACCAATTTATTTTACCAAAAGTCTATCATCCGAAGTATAATGACAGATCTCGATCCCTTCGACATTTTTCGTAACAAAGAGATTCTCCAAGGCCTTAATGTTGTGGTCATTTGTGCTGACTTGTTCTTTCGAGGCTCTACAGATAAAAAAAATAATTTCGTATAAATAATTTACCCGAGGAAGTAAATCTCATTATTTCATTCGTAACTGGTGCTCACAAGTTTGACCCCTTCAGGGTTAAATATAAAATTTTTCGTTAGTGCTTAATTGCATAAGTACAATACCAATGTGCAAACAATGTCAGTGATACCAACATCGTGCTGTGTAGTCGTAATGTAGTTCCATAGCTTATAGTACCTAATTATGTCGTTCCGAAAGAGTAGTGACGTTGCAATATGGAAGAAGTGCAGTCGGAAATAGGACCAATAAGGCTTCACGAGTCTCAAGGCTGAGGCCGCGTCCACACTATGCCGGAGAAAGTTGAAAACGCAGCTTCATTTCTACGGTTTGGCCTACCGTCCACACTAATCCGTCACGAAAACGGAGCTTTTTGAGAACGGAGCTTTTCGAAAACACTCTTCAAACCAGAGGAATTTGAAAACGCCGGCTTTTCGTTTTCGTGTGGACAGAAAACATTTTCAAAACGAAGCTTTTCGAAAACGATGTACACACGTTAATCATGCGATTTCCCTGAACGAGTTTTCGTCAAACACAAATCCAAGATGACCGGTGATTATTGCGTTTTTACCTTCCTCCAGCGTAGTGTGGACGGAAAACATTTGATGCGTTTTTAATGTGAAACCTCCGTTTTCAAATTCCTCTGGCGTAGTGTGAACGGGCCTGGCAGTTTCAACAAGTTTTAGTTTTAGCCAAAGCCAAATGCCCTGTAGAATGGGTTAAAGACGCGAAGAAAATGTCGATTGGTGTAAACCCGGTTTACGCCAGGGCCTAACGTAGACGACGGAGACTAACTGAAAGTTAACCGGACTTCATTCAAACGCGGCCAAACGAGGATGATAGCGCTAGAGTTGACAAAAGCTGGACAATGAGCAAACGAAAACGAATATTTAAACAGGTTCAAACTTGATAAGAGTTGGCTTAAAGGTATCCTCTCGGCTTGTGCTTCGCCCTGTTTTAAAGCCTGCGAGTTCCTTAGAGGCTGACTAACCTTTGTTGAATGAACAGGTCTTTTGATTTCCCCAAAAATAGTTCTCTATGGCGTATTAAACACAACAGTGTGATCAAATGCGTGCTTCAGCACCTCTGGATGAAACATTGAACGAACAAGTGTCAAGTCTCATTTGTCTTAAAGTTAATATATTTTGTATGTAGAGGAAGTCATAATTGTCAACAGTACATTGTCGATGGTACTAAAGGTAGAAAATAATACATTTGTAAATATGTTATTCTCTGTGAGGGTACAATAAACTGAAGGCGTGTTCGCCATAAAGATTACCAGAAAAGATTGTGCAGAGTGAAAAACAATTTATTTTATCACAAGCGAATTTCTGTTCGTGTTCACTCAAGTAAAGCGAAATCAACACGACTCTTGACTTTTTTCCCCTCAAACTTCAAGTTAAAAGCAAACCTTCACCAAATAAATATTGTTTTAAATAACTATCACAAGATCTTGGGTGATTCAGACATTTCAGAGTTACTTTTACGGCAAAGAGTAAAAATTGCCTCGGGTTTTGTCCTATTCTCCCCTAACCCTTGAATGATTCTGACATTCTAACATAAAATAGGAAAAATCTCTTCTTCACTGTAAATGCAGATAGCCTCACTTTAGTTTTCAAACCGCTCCAGAAAGACGACGAAAAGTTATTTGTGACAGTCGCCGTAAACTTCATTCTTTCCCTCTCTATTAACCTGTTTCTTTAGAGCAGTTTCAATCGAGTGCTTAAAACGAAAACCAAAGAAATCACTCCGGCCAATCACAATGGACTTACTATCAAGTGAACCAATCGAATGTTGAGTGCGAAGCGCGGGAAAACGTATGCGAGGAGTCACAATTGTTTTTTGTTTTACTTCTGATTAGATGAAAGAGGAGCGTGAATTTTTTTTAATCAATCGTTTAAGGTAGCGATGTAAAACCAATTACTTTTCGACACTCAAGTGAAAACCGCTCCATTTTCTGTTTTTTGTTATTTTTTGTTTTAAATTTTACCGTATAGCTATTAAGCGCTTTAATGATTTTAAGTTCAACGAGAAAGCAACGAACATTTTAATTTCAGCGTTTGCTAAGTTCAGTTAATCGGTCGGTCCCTCGGTTAGATTTCGCGACAGGCAACGAGCACGAACGTTTCACAGTTCTTGTTTTTCGCGCTCTTTTACTTGTGCATTAGCCTCTTGGTCAGTTTCTTGATCACGTGTTTCCCCACTTCCTTGCACGTGACCTGGGTCGTCACTCGGTGAGGTGTCTACATCATCCGCTCTCTGATTTGCTTCGTCACCAGTCTCCTGCTCTGCGGAATTCCCATCATCCTCCTCGTCTTCGTATGGTTGTTCAATCCCAAGAATCAAATGGGTCAGCGCGTAATATGTGTTGACAAAAGTCTGACGAAATATGAAGTACTTCTCCAAAGCGAATAACTGAACATTTTCTAAAGCGGTTCGGTTTTGGCGAGACATTTTTTCCTGACTCAAAGGGTACGTTTCTGTTAAAAGAAAAGGAGCAAGAAAATTTATTACAAACTACGTTTTGATTTACATACAATAAATTATTTCCTACAGGATTTATCCTTAGCCGTTTTCAAATCGATTATTAAATCTTAATTTTGTTACCGTGTATAAATAAGTTAGTAAGTTACTTTTACCATGTATAAAAAAGTTATCAATCAATCAACCAATCAATCAAATTTACAGTTGAATGACGTCACAAAAGATTACCCTGTAAGAAAGAAAAATTTTACTGTCATTCAAGCTTAGAACCTACCACCCCTGCAGAGGTGCGCTCCCTACAATGGACTTTACGGGGAGCTCCAGACCGAAAAGCACCTTTTTCAGGTTGGACTTCTACAAAAGGGTAGGGATATAACTAGCTGAAGTACTAAATAGGGAATGAAAAACTGTAATTTTAAAACAAGTGCCTTTAAAAACATCTCGAGCAGATGCACGTCACCCAAGGGATACAATGTTTCTACTGTGAGATGTGAAATGATTTCAATCTTCCATGGATGTGCCGATATAACAAAGACTTACTTTTCCTGTCAAAACTGGTGTACAAACGAGGTGAGGGTTTGTACCTCGGGTTGAAGCCTCCCGTTCAATATGTTGTTGAATACCTTTCCCCCGGGGGGGGGGGAAGGTGGGTACTTACCCGGATGCAGAATCCAGTTTCTGATGGTCTCGTTGTTCCATTGGGTGACGTTAAAGAACACGTACATCCAACATGAAGGCGTGTCAGACACTGTGTACACCAGGTGCGTGTCATTAGATGGAATGGAAATCTCTTGACCTACCTCTACAGTGTGGTTCGCGTTGTTAAACTCCACCTTCACTTGACCTAAAGTAAATTACACAGTTGAGTTATGTTTCTGTTTCTATCTCTGTTCACATGTCATAGCCAAGGCAGGGAGGTAGCCGAGGTATGGTAGGGAGCCTTCGGAACACGCGCGATGGGTTGAGGCGAATGAGGGAAAAAGGCAAGCCTATTATAACGCATAAAAGAAGCCATTGGTTCCTCAAGAAATTGTTAGGCTGCGTCGACGGGCAAGCGAAACACTTGAATATGACAAAGGTACATAAACGCCGTAGCGAGCAAGTGGAGCTGACGTTTCGCCCGTTAATAACCTGGCTATACCTCCTGGTCTTAAAAGGTTTGCTTTTACAGATAAAACCATAAAATTTTTCAATTCTCTCAGTGTATTCTCGGACATTTCGAGGTGTTACTAACAAACGCTGGTAAGTATTCCTTGGCACGAAAATGGAAAGAAATAGGGGCGAATTCCCAGCATTGTTCCGTTTTGGCATCGAACACTCTTCACTCAGTGTGTACCTGTTCGATCAATTAGGCGCTCAATAATCTATTCATCTGTAAAATTTAATTAACAGGCATTTATCAAGAAAAGCTTTTTTATGTCACTTTACCGTGTAACAAGGTCAAAGATGCGTTAAGTTCTTCAGCCACAAAGTTTTCCAAGAAAAGCCCCGGAAAATCAGCCACAAATGTGATGGAACTAAAGTTGGACTTCTCTTTCAGGTCCTTCCTGATTTGGACCATTTTCTCGCGCCACGGGGACAGCTCTGTCAGCAAAGGTTGAATCCAAGGTGTCTGTTTAAATGGCGACCAGGGAGCCGTGACCATGTCCACGTTAGGATCTACCATTCGCTGTTGGAAACGCCTGTTCATGGAGCGCCACACATCCAGGTAAATGGCAGGATCAGTGATGTTGAGGTCCGGGTGAGCTTTGAGTTTCTCAGCCATGCAACTCATGTATTGTTTGGTCATGTCCGGGTGTGAATTCCAACGCGACTGACGGCCCTCCCTTAAAAATGCCTAACAAAACGTCGTATATGTTCACTTAGCAATGTATCTATAAAGTTTCCATCCTCACTAAGAGCATTGTTAGTGCATTGCTTTGGGAAGATCCGGATCAGGAGTTATGATTCAAGATCAGGTTGCACTAGAGCAGTTTTCAATTGAGTGTCATAAAACCAAAACCAAAGTAATCACTCTAGCCAATCACAAAGGACATAGACAATACAGTGACCCAATCAAAACTTGAAGTAGATACATGTAGCTGACGCGAAGCGCGGAGAAAAGCGAGTGAGTGTTTACTTCTGATTGGATGAAAAAGTGGCGCCAGTTCTTTAAGCCAATCGTGTAGCGTAGTTGATGCAAAACCAATTACTTTTCGACATTCAAATGACAACCACTCTAAGGGAACCAATAAGATACCTCTGAAGGATTTGTCGGTTCCTTTGATGCACCATGATATGAGAAATCTTGAATCATGTTCAAATCCTGCTCGGGATCATCCCAAAGCAACACACCCTATGAACACCCTCTGGTTAAGTTAAACGTTTGGATTTGAGAAGTCATATGGGTCATCAGTGCCAGCACAGTGCCAGCACTTACTTCATCTAGCTCCCCCTCGCCACCCTTCAGGATTCTGTCAAACTACCCCAACAATTCTCCAGGACCCATTCAAATACATTTGCACAGAG